TTACTCAAACACATAGAGCTAGTTGTTGTCACAATTAAGAGCAGAAACAGGAGGAGGAACTGAGCTTGGTCTTTATTTCATGATATTCAGCTCACCTTCTCCTCCAATTATAAACCCACATGCCTCTGCAATCAAGGTATAAAGTTTGGGTCTGAGATGGAAAAGTCCTCTAACTCTCGGCAGAGGAATGAAAGGCTAGACGAAGAACTGGAGGAAGGGTAAGAAAACAAGCGAGAGAGAGAAGGTGTTGGGTTCCCTTTAAAGCAGGTACCTAAATCTGAGGATTTTTTTTTAACCCTCTTTAAGATGAAGGCTCTGCTAATAACATGTCCAGAAGATGGCTCCTGGCAAATTGCTTTGTTATTCTTGTCAAAAAAAAAAAGTCCCTTGGAAGCAGTCAATTTTAAACCATATATCAAAATGATTAATTGCCCTTAAATGAGCAGATGTTGAAGTACCCTTGAATGGGGCTAACGCTTTTTGGATTGCAAACATAATGTATTCATGGACTTGGAAAAATATCATTAGGGCTATTAATTAGCTATAAGCACCAAAAGCTTTGGTGACTCCAAGGTGTTCGCTTTTCTTCCCCCCCCCCCCTTCTTTCTTCTCTTTTTTAAGACTTAAGGGGGAACAACTGGTTTTACTGGAATAAGATTAGCAGGTATTTTTTAATCTCATGTAGAAAACCTTGCCAAGTAGCTCAAATTGGGAAAGCTGTAAGAAATACTGGCTGACCTCTAAATATAGGTAGGAACTAGCCACAATAGCCAGCACCTAATGAGGGAGCACAAGTATAGTGGGGCAAAGAAAGAGAAGGAAAGGATAAAAGAAAGAAAGCTGGCTTTGCAGGAGGCTGCTTAGGATACAACTCTGGTCTCAGCCAAGGGAGGCATGAAGGTTTGAGTTGATTTTTTGGGGGGGAAAGGTGCTTTGTGTGCTCCTAATTTGGGGAGAAAGGAACTTTTATTGCATAGTTGGCCCTGGAGGAGAAAAATATAAATTCTTCTTCCCACTAATCTTGCTTTCCTCCAAACCTCCAAGAGCAAAAGGAGAAATGTAGCAAGCTGTGGCTTGAGACCTTTTAGTAACAGAAAATCCTTAAAAGTGAGCCTGTTTTGGTCTCTTTTCAAATACTGCATCAAATATATTTTCAATGAATTCATGGGAAAAAAAAAAAAAGGAGGCAGGGAAGAGAGAAAAAAAACTTTTAAAATCTGTTTAAGTTTATAAACAAGATTAAAGAAACAATGTCAAGGGTCTTATGGAAATGGTGATAGTGCCCCTTTAAATAAGAGCAAGTGGAGATTTTCTATATCACTGTGCAGTTTAAATCTTTCTTGATGGACCGGACACTAGTCCTCCTTAAATCCTTCAGAAAGCTGCTTTAAGGAAAAAGGCTGCGAGGAATTTCTTCTCGCTTTAATTGCTTAAGAAACGGTTCCCACAATGAGCTGTGGCCTAGATTTGCCTCTCATTTAAGTTCTGATTTTTAAAAGTTCACAAGTTAATCCCCTTTCGGTCTCACACGAATGCGGTTGGCGTCGGGGACAAAGTACTGGACAATGTCTGGAACATTTCAAGCCCCCAAAAGATGCCTTATACCAAATAATAATTAAAAAAAAAAAACAACAGCCAAAAATAAAAGAATAAAAGAAAAAAGACACCACCACCACACCCCCCCCAAAACCAAACCAAAGCAAAACCAAGCAACGTGGCCCTGATTTAGTTAAGTAGCTGCTTTAAGATCTTGTTGCCACTATAATTTGAGGCAAGTAGAAATTGTCTTGCACTGCATCTGCCGTAGATTCAGGGGTAAGGAGGTTTGTCAGTGTTTGCAGTTTTCTTCCTTCTCTGTCTTCCAAGGACGGAGCTTTATTTCTCTTTATTCAACCTAGAATTGAGTGTCTGCATGTCTAGCACAGTTTACTGTCTTGGTAAGAGGTGTGATAAAATTCACACAAAGAAACCAAAGAGGGAGTGAAGGCGGGAGTTAATGCATTAGCTGTTTAAAACATAACCAGCTTGGCTTTGATTTCAGTTGTTCTGAGGGAAACAGCCACGATTTCTGTGCAAATGCACACACAGTTCTGTGTGTATGGGCATGGGGGGCGGTGTAAAATACCCGAGATAGAGAAATTACATGTGGTTCTAAATAAAAAGAGGAAAGCACGGTTTTCTTCCAACATTATGCCCTGATCGTCCCATCATTTCATTTTTCTTTTTTTTCGAAAAGCAGTTTTCAAACGAGAAGCATCATCTGTCCTTCCCTCATGCAGGTGAGAGCGCTTAGAGCAATGTGGAAACCTGAAAATCCCGGTTCACTTAGAAAAGACGGGAAAAATGGTCTTCGAAATAGATTTTTTGGTGCATATATAGACCCACCCAGTTAGCCAAAATATTACCGTTAATTACCCACAAACTTGAAATGTGCTTTCCACTTGGTGAGCTAACAAATTCCCCCCACCCTGTCTTGTAGCGCAGGATCAAGTCGGGGTGGCAGATTTATGTGTTTTCATATTTCATTTCGCTCTGCGATGCAAAACTTACAAAAAATACCAGATTTCTATCTCTTTTTCTTCTTATTATTATTATCATCATCGTCATCATCATTTACCGGCAGGGTTGGAAACAGCCGGCCCTAGCCCAGCCAAACCAAGCTCGGGTTTCGGACCCGATACCAGCCGCAAGTTTGCAGAGCCCCGAGGCTCTCGGGAGAGAACGAGGCCGGGGGAAGGGTCGTGGGGGACCCCCCCCCTGCAACTCCCCCTTTCCAGGGCTACCTTCTTTCCTGCCCAGTCCCCGTCCCTCCCTTGTTTCCCAGCGTTTTGGAAAAGAAACCCCCGTAATCGCGACACAACCGATTTCCTGATGCGTTGCCCACATCGATACCTTGGGGTAGGGGGTGAAATGTGATAAATCAGTTCTGCGGACAAACTGGGGTTATGCTTCCGAGCTGCGCTAAACGCACTAGTTACTCGTTTCTGCGAAGAAGCGCTGAATTAAAACGCAGTAATTTATTTAGAGGGGCTGGCTAAACAGCAGAAATCCCGTCGCTGGAGAACTAGGAAAGATTTTATGAAGGCAGAGAGAAACTGTTATTATTTCTTCGGGGGAAAAAGGGGGGAAATTAAAACTAAGGATTTTTCATCGAAGCAATCATAAAATCTCCCGTGCTCAATAGCTCCACGAGCAGAAAAGAGAGACAAGGGTGAAATTGTGGGGTTGGATTTTGTGCATGGGCTGGAAGCGACAATTCAGGGAGAGCAGGAGCGACGCGCTGCCCCAGCCCGACGGGCACAGCACCCTCGGCCCCTCTGCACGGAGTGGGGGAACCTTCCAAAGTTTGCCGGTTGCTTGAGCAGATATTTGCGCCCCGGGGCTGCAGTTTGTGCCCCAGCTCCTGGGAGTTACAAGTCCGCGGGGTAGCTCCCAGCCAGGCTTTGGGGAATGAGAGGGGGCTTGCAGGGGGGTGACTGTGTTTTGGGAAGCATCATCCTCCTGCTCCTTGCCGTCTCCCGTTTCAACTCGTTGTGATTAGAGGAGAAGGGAATGTGCCGGTTGTAAACTCAGGAAGGGAGGTGCGGCGTTCATTTACAGTGACCCCCAAAAAGCAAAGAGGGTGATTCCCCGTGGGCTTTGCACGGTGGTGCCCAGGTCAGCTCGGACACGGCGCCCCGAAAAACACCCTCGAAAAGTGGTAGCGGCAATCAAATCACTGAGTTTCACCCAATCGGTTTCCCAGCCGAAAGCGGGTGGTTATTAATTAGAGGGTGCGGGGGGCTCCCCTCCTTCCTGGGGAGCCAGCGGGACTTCGGCGGAGAGAGGGCTGGAATAGATTGGAATATATTTCAATAGATTCACCCCCTCCCTCTCTTTTCCGAGACAATCACTTGGTCCTCCAGAGCCATTGGAGGGGGAAAATGTATCTATAAAATAAAAATAAATACAAGAAAGTGTCACTTGGAGCCTTCTGGCGTCCTAGAACCAGACCGAACTCCTCTTTTTTTTTTGCCAGAATTTGTACAAAATATCAAGCTCAAATTAAAAGGTATTCTCCCTCCCCCCCCCCCCCCCCCAACCCCCCTAATTTTTCTTGTTCCCTTAATTCCTGTCTAAACAGTTTTGCTCTGGGAGAAGAAATCTTTTCTATAGGAGGGAGAGAGAGGGAAGGGAAAAAAAAACCTTCAAGAAGAGAAGGGTATTATTGTTTTAATCCTCTTACCCGCAGTCATTTTAAAACAGGGTGTTTTGGAGCCTGAAATGGCGTCTCGTCTCCCAATCCCATCCTAAATCCTCCTGGGCTGGGAGAGAATCTAAAGGCAAGGAGCTGGCATCTATTAGCAATCTCTCTAAAGGCTTTAAACTGCTCTTTCTGCTGGGAAGGCATGGCAAAGCTGAAAAGCAAACACAACCACCTCTCCAGTTTGTGAGCTCTGCCAGATAACCAGCCCGACCGCCGGCCGAAAAAGTACCTGCGAAAATTCAGCAGAGTGAAAGAAATCAAAAAGAAAAGCTGGTTTTCCTCTTTTACATCCCGAAAAAAAAAAGGGGAAAAAATAGGAATAGAGTATAAAAACATACTACAAAAGCGGGGGGAAGCGTTAAGTGATGGTCCTTGATCCTCCGAAGCTCCACGGCCTCCCCTCCTTGCCCGCTCCCACCCTGCCGCATCCCCCTGAGCTGGCAGAGCCGTCCGATCGGAGCTGTCCCGACGGGACGGGATACGGGTCCACCACTATTCCTAATTTCATCTCTCTATGTCGTGTCCTCCCCACTTCTCCCTATTTAGAAGAGGGACCAAAGGGTTCAGCAGGCTTGGCTGGGACAGCGAAAGCACCAGGAGGAGGGTGAGGACAGCGGTGGGTCTGTAATTAACGCTGGAGATTATACCCAGCAGCCCCACTACGCAGGGGCCGTAGGGGAGAGGGGAACTTCAGGGGCCGCTCCGGCAGGGGATGTGTGTGGGGGACATGGTTTCCCTCCTCTCTGCCCCTACAGACCCCATCATCCCCTCCAGCCGAGGTCTAGCCCTCCTCCTTCCAGCGGCATCCCATCCGCTCCCAGGGATTTAATCATGCGTTTACACCTCATCTTGGAGTAAATGACTGGTAAGAAGTGCTGGGGGTGGAGGGGTGGTGGTGGGGGTGTATCAGCAGCCCCGGTTTTGATTGACAGGGTGGAGGACCATTGAAAATCTTGCTGGGTAGCTCCCGGGTCGCTATGAAGCTCCTTTTAAAAATCCTTCTTCAATGCTGCCTCCCGGTAGATGGCAGCTCCGCCGGGCGCGGAGGCAGCGCGCAGGCAGCGCGGGCGGATGGAGTAGGGCGGGACGGGGCGCAGCGCCGCGCTCCCACGGCGGGCGGAGAGGCTTCGCCACCGCCCCAGGTAAGAAACCCCCCCCTACAGCCCCGGGCAGCGCGGGTCCGGCGGGTTGGGGATGCGGGGGGGAAATAAGGGGAGTTTGGGGCTTGTTTGCGAAGGGGGGGAGCCGGCGGCGGGGATGCGCGCACCGCGGAGGGGGGAAACCCGGGCGCCAGAGGAAGTCCCATCCCCTCCTGTTCTCTTTATTTTTGCTTTATGTGGAGTACTTTACACTTTCACAAATCAAAAAGGGCAAAGCCCCAGCTACCAGCCCAGGGCCTCGCTCACTCCCGAACCACACGCTCCGGTGTGGATTTAGGCAGGGGAAAAGAGGGGTGCAACCCTGCTCGACTCAAGGTGGGAGACGCGCATCCCTCCGTCTGCCGTGCGCCGAAGAGGGGGAGAGTGCAACTTTCTCCCCACGGTTTCCATAACGTTTTAATAAGCCGCGCAGCCCGGTGAGCGCTTGCCGGAGGGTCAAAGCGACAGGGTGGAGGGGCGATGGACCCTCTTAGGGGTGGCTCGGGGGTTGTTTATTCTTTCTGGTGCGGCTCGAAGTTGAGCGCGGAAGGGATAGTAAGAGAGGGCGAAATTCCTGCAGCGCTGAGAAACCTGTCTAGGGCAAAATTACCCACTCCTACATCAGCCCTTTGAGTGGTTAGACGGTAAAACGGCCGGGGACCCGCCTGCACGGAGCTGTGGGGGCCGGTCTGTGCAGCCCCCCTCCCTGCTCTCGCTCTTCAAGAGGTATATAAATCCCGGACCTGCGCTGTCAGGCTCGCTTGATAAATTAAGGGCTTCGCAGTCGAAACCTATTTACACCTCCATTACAGGGCTAACCAAATGGGGATCAGCATGCATATTTTTACCGCAAGAGATCTCATACATCTTCGCCAGAGTCGCCCCTCGGGCCATGGGATAACAGATAGGAAAGGGGGGGTGCTCCTCTGTAGCCAGCACTTGAGTGGAAAAAAAGTCCGTGTCCCCGCTCGGTGCCGCCGCCCGGGGCACCGGGGACCCGTCCCCTTTGCAGGGGGCAAGGAGAGAGCGAAAGTGACCTCCTCGGGATGGGGGTCCCGCAGTGGGGGGAGCACGGGACACGAGCTCCTCCAGCCCAAAGCAGGGCCCTTGAAGTTTTGCCTTCGGAGTAGGTGGGGTTTGACTGCGGGACCGGCCATGGTTGCCCCTTTTCGTGGGAAGAAGGGGCAAGAAACTCTCCGCACGGAGCCCTGCTGTCCCCGCTGCCGGCGGCTTTCTCCGGTTGCTCTTTTCGTTGACTTCCTGGTGAGGACCTCGGGGAGGAGCGGGGGTCAGTGCACCCCGAGCCGGGTCCTTGGTTTCCCGAGGGTCGCCTCTTCGGGTGCGGCAGGAGGAAGGACGGAGGGGGCACCATCCCCCGTTTCCTGGTGGGATGCGCGCACCGAGCGCTTCCCGATCACTTTCGAAAGGAAACGCCGGCAGAGTGAAGAGACACCGAAGCCTGGGGCCCAGAGAAGGCTTGGCCCAAACCCTCCGTCCCTGGTGGGAGCAGAGGAGTCTTTGCGGGGTTTCCCCCGCACCCTCCGCTCCAGCGGGCCGGGCTCGGCTGCGTCCCGGCTCCGGTTCCAGCGGCGGGGAAAAAAGGAACTCGCCCTTCTCCGCCCCATCCCGTCCCCTCCGGCTGCCCCCTCCAGTTTCACTTGGTTAGCTCAAGTTTTCCATGTAAATGACAGTAATAAATATCTAATAATGTCCCGCAGCTATCGGCTGCTGCCGAGCAGCCGGTATTAATGAGACATCCAGGGGAAGGGGGGATAAAGGAGAGGGGGGGGAAAGAAGAATTAAAAAGGAGAAAGGAAAGTTTTTCCGCTCTCCCCAACCCGTTTCTATAAGCGAGGCGGGGATGGGGAGCGCAGAGCCCCTCAATTCCTCCTCAGCGGTAGCACCTGTGGGTCGCGCTCGGGTTCAAACCCGTCCCCTGTAATTAAGCCCCTTCCTAAATCCCAGCAATTCTCCCCGGGGGCCCGGGAAGCGGCGGGCCCGGTCGCATCCCCAGCCCGGGGGCTGCCCTCCCGAAAACCCTGCGGAAATGCCTGTGCCCGACCCCGCCGTGATTCCCAAACAATTAATGGGGCTGCAAAGAGCTTTTAATGTTGATGGGGTCGGGAAGGAGGGGGTAGGCTTAAGGCTGAAATTAAACCGTGAGAGTTGGATTTGCTCGCCTAACGCTAAGCAAATGAACTGATTACCTTCTTTCCAAACGCATCAGTCATACTACATTAAGTAGCAGAGAGCTAATTATCCCAATTAGGAGGCTGATTTATAATTAATGGCTTGGACCAAGTGATAATTGGATGTTAATGGATAACAGTTTTGTCTGAAGTAGCCTCCCGCTTCCCCAAAGGCAGGGCTGGAGGGTTTGGGTTTTTTTAACTCTCCCTCTCCTCTCACCTCTGCACAAAGCAAATGAGGAGTGGAATCCGCTCCTGCCTTGCACGGAGGGGACCGTCCCGGATCGCCAACTGGCCGGGGTTCAGCGAGGTGGGCTGCGGAGTCACCTCCAGAGAGCCCCTTCCCCAGCTTCTCAAACAAACCCTGTTGCTGTTTTTCCTCCCTTCTCTGCTTTTGTAAGCCATGACCCATAGCAGCCGGGATGTCTCGCGTCCACAGTGGGTGCTAGTGTCCTCGATGGGGGGCAAAGGCTGAGCCCCAAGGGGTGCCCCACCGCAGACGAGGCTGCCCCGCTGTCCTAGGGAGAGCAGGATGGGTCTCACCCCTAGGAAGACGGGTTTTGTACCCTCCCTGGTCCACATTCACCCTGCAGTGGGGAGCACAGAGCGAGCCTGCAGTTTCTCACCGCTCTGCGTTTCTCTTGACCACATCTCAGATGGCACATCATCTCAGAACGGGCACATTGACTGTTTAGCTTTTCTGTTCCACGCTCACTTTTCCACCCGCAAGCCGATGCAAGTCAATCCCAGTTCCTCCTTAGCCCCAGCTGTCGAGACTTGGACCTACAACCCTTTGGCTTTCAGACTGTGTTTCTAAGGTCAGTTTTTCCGCTCTAAGAACCGTACGGGAAGAAAATTCCTGAAAGGGTAAGAGTGACTTCAACTCGGAGTTACCCCGTGACCGATGAGAGGTTGTGTTAAATTACACCAATGTACTCGATACAAAAATACATTCAAAATCTCACTGTCAGTACACAGGGAGCCAGTTTAGATTGCCTTTCCAGCTTTCCCTGCTAATTTAAAGAGATCTTGATGTTTAAATGGGATGTTCTCCCTTTGCTCATATGTACCAGCAGGCTCCTGCAGTGATCTTGCCACTGTCTCAGAAGACACAGCTCTGTTTCACAGAGTTGGCGCAGATGTGGCTTCTCCTTAGTGCTAGGGTCGTTCCCTGCCTCAAAGAAACAGAGCCGGAGGAACTTCTCACAGGTCAGAGGGAAGGGCAGGCTGGCCAGGCAAGTTTTGCACGATATAGTCGTAAAGGGAGTGACTGCAGTGGGTTCTGTTCCCTGTGTCTTTACACTTTAAAAGAACGTTTTGCTGAGAAAGAGAGGGATCAGATGAAAAGAAGCTGGGGTGAGTAGAGTTTCTCTTCCCTCTGTCATTATCGGAACCATCCCTGCCAAAACAAAGGCGCTGCAGAGAAGGCGCAGGACCACGCTCTGATGTGGTTACCTATTAGTTTTGAGGTGAAGCGATGGGCGCACCCTTTAGCTAGAAGTATCTCGTGTTTTCTGAGACACCAGTTATTCTTTCAGTGTTTTTTCAGGATCAGCACGAAATTCAGCTCGTCAGGTTGGAAATGCTTCTACTGAGGCATTGGTGAATGTCAGTTGCCTTTTAAAATATTCAGTGTTGATTGCCACCACTCACGTTCGAACAGAAATGCTTACAGCTACCTGGCTTCATTTGGCAAAAACACACAGGTAGGAAAACCACTGAAGAAAGCACATTCAATAGAGCCCAAATTTTCCAGTTCCATACAACTGCTGATTAACTACCCTGCTTTAGGGGAATGTCCATCAAAATGTGATTGTTGTAAAAACAGTGGAGAATTCTGAAATGCAGCAAAATATCTAGGAATGAATTCCTGGTGCACCAAGGTTAGCCAAATCCTGGGGCTTTTCCTGCCATTCTGTTCCAGACTAAAAGCTACTGAAACGGTTTTGGTTTGTTTTGTTTGTCTCTTTTGACTTCATCAGGCTTTGGATCAGAGTCCTTATGTTTTCTAAAGCAGGTCAAGTACAGATATAGCTCCTGGGACAGGGACAGTCTTGGAGAGGGGGCTGGAACCACCGTGGACCAGCAGTTCTCCACAGGGTGGGAAATGGATGTTTACAGCCAGGAGTTGTGAGAGGACCACAAAACAAGTGTGATTTCTTCTTGGTAGCTGCTGGCACAACTCTTTTAGGATCAAGTGCAGCCTCTGTATGTCCAGAGCAAACATTGACTTGAGAAATGCTGCTCTAAAACTGTCCAAGATGCTAGAACTTAAAGTGTGTATGTGAGAGATGCTTGGGAACTCAGTGAGGAGGTGAGCTGATAGTTCCCAGGGCAGAAAATGCTCCCACAAAGGGAGCTGCAGAAAAGCGGTGTCTCCAACCATTTGACACCAACCATACTGAGCACCGGGGCAATGAGCAGGCAGCAGCTCTGCATCCTCTTAGTGTGTGTTAGCCCAAGATGGAGAAATGTGCTTGGGCTGAAGGACTGCACATCTTTCCGCAAACCCCAGTGGATCTTTAGCTGCTCTGCCTGCTTTACAGTGCACACAGCTCTTTAAAGCACAGATCACCTGCTGGTGGCCAAAATATATCGCTTACCTTGGCAACTGCACTTCAGTGTATGGATCCAAGTGCTTACGGGAAAGGAAGTGTTACATGTACCTGCTGTGCTCCCCAGCTGCTGGCATCTTTCCTGCTAACTCCAGTTCATGGCCTTGTTTTAAAGTGGCACAAGTCTTGTCCCTTCTCTGGCCCTTGCTACTAAATGCCACTGAATTCAGATAGCTTTTTTAACATTAGGAAGAAAATT